ATATTTTGATACGTTACAAAAGATTTACAAAAGATTTGACTAATATTTTGTATTTCAAAAGGTTGGTTAAAGAATTTGAAAATTTCGGCTAATAAATCACATTTACTCTTGATTTTTCCTCACTCGATAATGATGAGTTTAGTATTTTGTATAAAATTCTTGGAGTCGTATCAAAATCAATGTTTAAAAAACCCTATCGTACGGGCCGATCGGACCGGAAATATCTAACCCAAAACGGTAGAATATTTAGCTTTAGGAAACGGTTGACCCACGATTTTAACACAAAATATCATATCACGAACTTGTTCAACTTAACTTCCGGCACGATTTCGCAATTATTATCAGTTTGGATATAAGTTGCAGGATAAAAAAAAATTGATAAATATGCAGCAGTCTGATTTTGATTATGAAAATGTTGCTTTTCCTTCCCTTTTTTTACCATTTTTTTTTTAGGTTTGAAAGAGCTAAGAGCTCCGTGCTGCGGAAACGAGGCGACGCCGTGTAGTCCGACTGCTACATTGTGCAGGAACCGCACCGAATATTGGTTTTGGGACCAATACAGTGTAACTGAGTACGCCGTCGGGCTGCTTGTTGAAGCTTTTTTCAGCGACAACGCGGACTACGTCAGCCCTATCAACTTCGGCCAGCTGCTGATTAAATATTGAACCCCACATTTGCCCAATTGATGCAATACCGACGAGGGCAGAACGTACGTGGCTTTTTCCCCATGTCTAATTAGGGGAATTCACATAGTAATTGCGATGTAATCATTCCACAGAAGAGAATATTAAAGATTGCGACCTAATCTCTCATCTTCGAGTTGTCCTTTATAGCGGTGGTTTAAAATGTGCGTGCAGCTAAACTTATGATTAGACATGCCTTGGCACTAGGGACGGGTTAGCATGCTAACCTCTTAAGGGGTTGGTTTTTTGACACCCCCTTTTCATTGGTCAATTTTTTATTAATTATTAACAAGTATTAATGAAAGTAAATATAATAAATGTTCTGTTATTAAATACAAAGTAAGCATTAAATACACCACATTAATTACCACTTTACTGGTATTTGTACCACTGCACTGATACTCAGATATGACATTGTTACCAGTGCACTGATATCGCTACCAGTGCAGTGGTATATCTACCAGTACAGTGGTACAACGTATCAGTGCAGTGATATATCTACCAGTACAGTGGTACACCGTATCAGTGCAGTGCTATATTTATTGGAGGTGGTCGGAGGGAGTCTGCCGATGGGATTTTCACCGGAGAAGTGTGGCGGTCGGAGGAAGTCTGGTGGTCGGAGACTGCTGAAAAAGGAAAAAATCAAATATAGTGAGAGAATTCCTAATGTGTATTTAATGTGTGTATTTAATTCCTAATGTGTATTTAATAGTGAGAGAATTCCTAATTAATATGGTACATTTAATTCCTAATATGTATTTAATGTGTGTATTAAATTCTATAGTTGTATTTAATATACTAGGGGGTGTCATTTTTCCAACCCTAAAGGGGGGTTAGCATGCTAACCGACTCCCTTGGCACTAGATAATATTAAAAGGATTTGTCTATAGAAGTTTTGCAACGAGTTAGGTGTCGAGAGCATGTCGATGGCGAGTAAGGTGCTATGGGTCTAGGCAGTCAATATCAAGAACGGAAATTAACATCATTTACAATCTTAATTTTCGATCTCAATATTTTTAAGAATTCAAGAACTTTGTGAGGTATTGAGCCGTGATTCAATGAACTTGTGATATATTTTCTTGTTGTTAAATGTTAATAAAGTTACTAATTATTTGAGCTAAGGTAGATGAGTTTTGTAAACTATTATTTCATTCATTACAAATCGTTCTTTTTCCTTCCAGAGTCTAGTCACGCTTAGCTTATGTCTGGGCGCGCGGGAGCAACGATGTAGGCGAGGCCCCGCCTCACACCTGGCGTCTTTAATGAACCTTGATTATATTCACTGCAATGTTTGTGATAGTAACACTTTGACATAATCATTGGCCCTCCAATTCCAAGTTATTGAGTTGCATGATTGACATATATCTTTGTTTGGAGACAAGTAAACATTCAAGTGTGAGAAATTTGATAACATCTAAACTTTTACCTTTTACCTCCCATAGTGATTAGGTCTTTTTCTATGTCATAATCATAGAATCACCAACCTCAAAGCATGTTTTGTTCTATCAAAGCCTCAAATCCCCTCAAATCATTCCAAAGTCCCAAAAAACAATTCACAAACAATGAAGCCACGAATTTTTTTTTTATAATTCTCAAATCTGTTTCTATTTTATTTCTGAAAAAAAAACAAAATGTATGTAATACTAAGCGATGATACGAGCTTTGCCACGAGTTTATTGGCAACAGTGCGTGGTGGTTGCCTGTTCAGATGTTATTTTTTAGTATGATTATGTCCTTTTAATTTTATTTATTTATTTATTTATGATAAGAAAATACCTATGGATGTCTGTCAATTTTCTAGTGATCTTTGTCGATGGACCCTTTTCAAAAAGTAAAACAAACAGAAATTTCATGAATATATTTTATCTTATAAATTATAAAAAAATGTTCAAGATATTTCCTAAATTTAGTCATCTGTATTTTCTCATATTTATGAAAGTCAACCCACATTCTCCGAAGATTGAGGAAGAAGAGATGGACAAAATAAATATTTTTCAAATGGTCAAATTTTTCTTCTCTTTTTAATTGAGTGATAGTAAAACAACATTTAATTCTCATTCCTATCAACAAAATGCAAAAGTGAAATTCTGATTTAAACATGATTAACAAATCGTTTGGTACCAAATGAATCAAGAATTCATTTTATTTTAAAATGAATTACCCTGTAGAATTCATTGTCAAATAAAATCTTGTGTTTAGTATGACATATTCAAATCCTTAGAAATAAAAGGAATTATCGTGCAGAATTCATTGTCAAATGGATTTCTGTGTTTGGTATGTCATATGTATAAGTGATTTAGTTAATAAAAGAGGATAATTATACCATTCTATTATAATTAGCAAATACTGTGGAGTTCATTTGGAAATTCCATCTCAATTCATCAGAATTGCTATAACTAGTTCCAATTCCATAGAATTCAAAATTTAGAATTGAAAATGAATTCTTTTAAATACCAAACACAAAAATGTTTCATTTCAAAATAAATTCCACAAAACTTATAAAACTCATTTATATCAAACTATATAAATCTAGAGAAATTTCTTAAAAAGGTATAAAGATTGGCCCAAAATAAAAAGCCCAAGACCTTAATGATAGAGCCCAATTTAGAAAGCCCTTGTTTTTAGTGAACAATAAACTTGATTTAGGTATATATATAAGAAAAAGTGAGGTACAATTTGATAATTTTAGTCTCCGCGCTTGGCTCACCCGCGCAGCTGTCAGCATGTCAAGACTAAAGAAATGCTAAGCTGCCGGGTAACGGGAGGAAAATACAAATGCAAGTTTCCAAGCTTAGATTTGCAAGCCTGTGAGGAAAATACAAATATATTCCTCTTGATCACTTCTACTATGCTATATAGCATCAGTGCTTTAATATACAACTCAAAGTTGTATCATAATATTAAATGTATAAGTTTAGGTTGTACTATTATATTATGGTACAACTTTACAACTTGAAGTTGTACCATCACATAAAGGTACAAGTTCAAGTTGTACCATAAAAGAATTTGTACAAAAAGTATAGGTACAATTTGAAGTTGTACTATAACGTAAATGTACAATTTTAAGTTGTACCATAAAGACAAAAACCTATAGCATCAATATTATATAGCATTATAAAATTTCAAATTTCTCATTTCTTCAACCCATATACCATAGCAGAATTGTAAGCTTCAAACAGAATGCTCCAAATAATTTTCATATGCAAAAACGATTCGCTCTTGCTGTGAAAGACGTGGACACGATTGGAGCTACTAAGCTTGTTAGGTCTAACAAGAGAATATTATAAGAATATTTTCTTGCACTACTGATTGCCGCAGTTGTGTAAACAAAAGTATTATTTAGGCCAGTTACCTCATGATTAAGGCATTGGTAATTAACAAGATGGTAACAAATTAACGAGGATGAAAGTAGGATTGTACATTTCACCATTGAGTATTTGGACTAGTCTACGGGCACTCTCAAAGTTACTCTTATTTAACTTAACTTTATAGAATATTACAATACAATCATATATAGGTCACGTACGGTTTCACGCAAAAGAAATCGAAGCACTCAACTTAGTTTAGGAACCCATAGATATTATCATATCGTCAAGAGAAAGAAGTAGAATTGTATTACCAATTGTATTGAAGAGTTGAGTAAACAGGGATGAATCATTCTAAATTTTAACAAAACCGACATGAATGATAGTGTTGTGAAACTTCTCAAACCACGTTCGAAGAATCTGTTTGAGCCCACACATACGGTGCTAAACCCTATACAAACCATGTTTGCATCTCCTTTCGTACAACTAGTCATCTAGCAAAATGAATCATCTCCTGAAGATCGCCTTCAAGAAATGCGTTCTTCATGTCTAGCGATACCATAGCCTATATAATGAACGGTGAAGCCTACAAACGAATGTTTACACTTTACATCTCCTTTTGTATAGCTAGCTAGTCGTTTAGCGAAATAAATCATCTCCTTCAGATCACCCTGAAGAAAATCTCTTCAACATGTTCAACTATACCAGAGAGTCCAAGCACATTATCACTGAACTCGAAGAGATGAAATGAATAGTAAGCACACTAAAATCATTGATAAAGTTAGTCCAAAATCATTGATAAGTAACTTCAAAGTCCGGCATTTCCTTGTCTTATACGAAAACCTTTTGTCACTCCAGCCGATCAGAGCCGAAAAAATATCAACGTCACCCGACAATAATCCCCCTTCATACAAATACTAATTCCCAAATGGAAAAACAAAAACAAAAAACACAAACTCCTCGAACATCGCTGAAACCTATATATCCTCCACACAATAGAAAACGCCGCCAAACTTTATTATTAAATATTCATCAGCCGTATAGCATAGCATTAGCATAGTATTTCTCAATAATTGCCGTTCATGTCGGCTTCTTCCCTGACGCGACTATACAAGGGTACACTCGAAAAAAAGCTGACGTTGTTATAAATAGAAGCCGGCAGCAAAAATATTAATAGACGGAAAACATTATTATTCACTGAGGTACGATCAATGGCGACGAAATGCGGGTTGTCGTCGCCTTTTCTTTTCGTGTTCTTCTGCATGGTGGTTTTGCAGGTTCTTCTTCAGTGCTGTTCTTACGCCGCCGTTATGAGTGATAATAGCGTCCCGCCGCCGGCTGTGTATGTATTTGGCGACTCGTTGTTTGATGTGGGGACGAATAATTACTTGGAGAATGCGGACGTCCGGGTAAAGGCCGACTTCCTGTTTTATGGTATCGATTTCCCTCGTTCTTTGCCCACAGGCAGGTTCAGCAACGGTTTCAATCTTGCTGACCAAATTGGTATGTTGCCCTCGTCCCTGGTTAACTAATCTCGTCTCTTTGTAGACTCACGTTGTACCCAAAAAAATTAACGGTATGACATTGTGTTGAAATCGTTGTTCAATTTTCATACCATTAAAAGTCGTCTATCGATTTAGACAGTGTTTTAACCAAAAATTCATCTAAGGTATGTACAACGTAAACAAAAAAAACATAGCGTAAGTTTCGGGATGTGTTTTCATATTCTGAAAATGTTCCTAAATTACATTTATCATGAAAAATTATGTGGAATGTCATTCTTAAAGTATCGTCAAGAAAATAAAATTATCCATGAATTTCGTCACTCATATGATGCTGAAAAATTCTTCACGTTGTTCATTGCATTAAGTGATTTTTCAACACTTGCAATGACAACTGATAACAGCAGACAACACTAAGTTTTAAGTTTACGTTTTTATTAAACTCGGTTACATAATATATTAGTTAGAAGTTAAAAAGAGATGATAGAATATTACTCTTTTGTGAAATTATTTACAATAATAGGAACATATTGTGGTTAATCCACAGTCACAGCAAAAATATTCAACTAAGTTTTTTGATCAAGGTGGTGCAAATGATCTTCCTTGGTTTCTAAATTTACGCTCTGATAAGAGATTATTCCGGTTGGGTTCTCGGCACAGTACAATTATGATGTATGTAATAGATGTAACTTGATTATATTTAATTTATTATTTTTTAAACAATGTTTTTTTTTATGAAAAGGATTTCTTTCATTTTTTATGCGATTACGTTCTATTAACACTAAGGAATGGTGGAATGGTAAAGTAACAAAGTTTTATTTATAAATTTTGAGGGTAAATTTTTGTCAGCAATAATAAAATGTCACTGCATCCTTGGAACGATTATGAAACATTCATCCCACTTCAGCGAAAGTTAAGGACACTGTACGTTCTCACAAGTTCTCTGAAACCCAATAGCAAAATTGGGTGGTGGCATATCTTATAAAATTCACACTTTAAATAGCTCTTTAAGTTTCTGGCTTTTCAAACTAGTTGATTTTGTCTCGATCTATGTTATGCACAGCTATTATTATAAAATTAAAAGCTCAAAACCCTAGAAGAAATCGAGATTCAGACACGAACCTCAGACTTTTCAACCTCGTTCTTTCCGCGCTGTAAATGTTTTATCGGTCAAATATTCGTAGACGTTGTTGTTTTTTTCGTTTTTTTTTTTTTCAACACGACACGTCCGCAGTAAATTACACTGGAATTAAATCACTTGCGAATTTCTTGGACAGTTAAGAAGATGGGACTACGCAGAAGCCCGCCGCCATTCCTCTCGCTTGTCGCCGGCGGGATTTTCTCCCCCAATTTCAACCAAACTATAATCAAAGGCGTCAACTTCGCTTCAGCAGGCTCTGGAATCTTCGACTCAACCGGCTCCAAATTTATCGTAAATATATTTTTTTCTTCATTGCATAGCAAACAAATTATTTTAAAACATCAATTATACAGCACATTAAAGGTTTGAATTACGGTACTAAAACCTCACGTGCAAAACTATGCAAAACCCCACTCGTCTTATTGTATCATGAAATAGTGATAAGATGATATGCCCGGATTTTGCAGGTTGGGATTTTGTACCCTACTCGCTCCCATTAGACGATGTTCGAAATAAATAATTAAAATCCTCTGCATGCATGCAGGTGGTACCGCTGAACACCCAGATCCAACAATTTTCGACTGTCGTCGAGAACCTGACGTGCCTACTCGGCCAAATGCCGGCCGCCGCTCACCTCGCGGAGTCCGTGTTTCTGATCAGTGCCGGGAGCAATGATATTTTCGATTACATGAAGAATATCAGCACCGACGGCATAAGTTTCTTCAACGTTTCCGCCAAGGCTTTAGTCGCCTCTATGATATCACAATACGGTCTCCAACTTCAGGTAACCAATCGCGATCCACTTCCTAATTAATAATAGAACATATGCCCGTTTCGCAAGAATTGATTTTAAGCGGTGGTATGAGATCCATAATAATCTTCTAACTATAGGTCAAGTTATTGATCGAAATGTCTTCTGTTTGAATCTCGATGACCCATATTGGTAAGCACATGGTATTTGATCTATGTGCAAACTGCAAACTCAAAGCCTTTATGAGTGCATGGCTTTGTTTTGAGGGGGACGTATTAGTATAAGATCCTTTGTTGAATCTCTCCCAATAATTTCAGTTGTTGGAACCAACTGATTTATGACATGGTATCAAAACTAGTTTCGACAAGTTGTCGTGTGTTCGAATATCCATACCCCACAAGATTAACCGTTATTTAAAGTACAAGGAATGGTAACCATATGCAAACTTCAAGACCTGTGAATTGGCTTTTGTGTAAGCGAGCTTGCAAAAGAGTGATATAAGCTTCATAATAAACTTTTTTTAACAACTCGAGTTATTGAATCCTAAAATAGTTGGGATGTTCATTAATGACCACAAGTTTGACTTTAATGGCAGGATCTGTACAGAAGAGGAGCTCGGAAGTTCGGGATAGTGGGGGTTCCAGCGGTAGGCTGCTGTCCATTTCTGCGCTCTTTCAACGTCACCGGCGGCTGCAACGATGGAGCCAACCTGCTAGCGCAAGCCTTCATGGAAGGCCTGAAAACTGCTTCCCACCAGATCGTAACCATAGCTCCAGATGTCAAGTTCTCCCTGGCTAATGCTTTCAACCTCTCCTTCGACTTCATCCAAAACCCTACTGCTCTCAAGCTTCAGGGTAATTCATTATTAAGCACATGCATGCATGCACCACCGCGTTCAACCAGAACCATTATTTTTGTCTATAAACGCGATTAATTTTAATCAAAGGTTTTATGCATGAACTAATTGATGACATTATGATAAACAAACTGGTTTCAATAACTCGAGTTGTTGGGAGATACCCATATATGATACTTAACTACTTCCTTACACGATCACTCAAACGAAAGTTGACTCATGAATTTGAAACTTGCACAGGCCTGACATACCATGTGCTCAGTGGCGGAGCCAGGTTGTAAAACTAGCCAACTAGGTGTGTCCTCTTTTTAAAATATAAACATATAAATAATTATTTAATAATTAAAATTGAGTGGAAACTAGCGGACTAGAAAAGAGAGAGCCCACTAGCAGAGACTTCTGTTTAGACTTCGTAATTTTTTGACAAAATTGAATAGGATAATCGAGAAAAAAGACCCCAAATAGAGATTTATTTCAATTGAAGATTTCATTTATAATGTATAAATTAATTTTATATCAATCAAATAACAAAACTTGAGCTTCATGGTAAAATACTTTTTATACTATATCAATGTGATGAATTTGAATATTTTATTCCTTACTATATATATATATATATGTGGATGTATTAATTTTTTGGGTGTGCCTATGCTGACATGCATGTCACCGTAACATGCACTTTTCGGTCGACTTATTCCTAACCGCGGTCGACCGAATACACTAATGTGGGCAATATGATGACTTATCACGGTCGACCTTTAAAATGTAGTGGTCGACCGTTTTGTGTTAAGTTGTGACATTACCGGTCGACCATAATAAAACATGGGTCACCCTTTTCATTGTAGTCTGAAGCAAACTGGTCGATTGTAAAGGTAATGAGGCCGACCACTTGATTGTTGTCATTACCAAAATGGTCGACAATTTACAGAAAGAGGTCGACCAGACAAAAGAGTAAAGTGCTCTATCCATTTATCCATCCCTTTTTGACGTGAAATGGAGATCAAGTGTTAGTCTTGAGGTTGACCGAATACAGTAAGAGGTTGACTGAATCAAGGAAATTTAGCCTATGACCTTCGACTTTTTGCATATGTATGTCGTTGTGGGTGGTTCGTTTCATCATTCAAATTAAGTTTGATAGTCATTGGAATAAGTTTTATATCATGATAGCAAGGATCCATAACTTCTTAACATAACAACGTAACACACTAACAAGAAATATAATAAAACACACTTCATAATTGTTCACATAAAACACACTTCATGAAATCGAAAACCACATAACAACAAAAAACACAAGCTAAACTCATGGAGTTCCTACACCTCTCCACTCTCTGAAACAACAAATTAGGTCGACCTAATCCTATATTAGGTAGACTGAAAAGTGCATGTTACTTCCTAATTTTTTTTATCAAAACTTACTTGTGTCCTGGGACACATCTCAAACCCTCTCCCTCCGCCTATGCATGTGCTTGACGATAAAGGTTAATATAGGGGGTCGTGAGGACTTGAACACAAGACCTCTCGGTCACAGAAGGCTCTGATACCATGTTAAGAATCGGTTGGTACCAATAACTCGACTTATTGGGATCGCCTAGTTCGTAACATGGTATCAGAGCCTTCTCGTTTGAGGGGGTGTGATGGTATAAAATTCATTATGAAACGTTTCCCAACAACTCAGAATTATTGGAACCAACTGGTTTATAAAAAATCGAACCACCTCCTCCAACCAGAACAATTATTATTGTGGCTCTCAAGGTTTTACAGTGACGAAGAGTAATTTTCTTCCCCCAGGCTTCAAGGACGTGACAGGTTCCTGTTGTGGGAATGCAACGGTGCCGTGCAGCCCGAGCGCTACGGTTTGTGAGAACCATGACGAAAGCTTATTTTGGGACGGGTTCCATCCGACCCAGTTTGCCGCCAAATTGTCGGCCAAGGCGTTCTTTGGCGACAACTCGAGGTACGTTTCCCCCGTCAGTTTCAGTCAGCTGTTCTGGAATTGAGCCCGCCGCCGTTTACGCACAAGGATTTTCGACGGAGTAAGGAACTCTTTGTTTATGCTTAGTCACAGTTTCCCGTCGGGTGTGTTTTTTGTTTGAAATAATTAGCAGATGATAATCTATACGTATGACATACGATCTGCTTAAGGTTTATAGAGATTTATGCTTCTGCTCTTTGTTTGCTTTGGTTTCATGAGGAGTACTATGTAATACTACTACCTGGATCTGTAACTTGGGCTTCTGATAATAAAACCTTCACCTGTCGTTAATAACACATCTAGAGTGAAAAATATTTGAAGTTATATTTGCTTGTTGTAATGAGAAAGTAAATTTGAAATCGTAAATTCACCGTCTAGCTTCCTGACTCGACTCTACTGTCACTCCAGGAATTGGCCAAGTGAAACCACTTCCTAAAGCGTAGTATAGCGGGTTTGGGTTTAATTATCAACCCGGGTCCTAGATTTGATGACTACTCAGTGAATTCTTGTTATCTAGCAATGAAACTTTAATGCAAGTCTAAACTAACAAACTAACAAAGCAAGTAAACGGTTGTATTCAGGTTAAGAGAGGTCACCCGAATATGGTTCCCCCTAGACTGCAGTTATGCCGGATTGTAATTACCAAGTTCAGTTTCTATGAAAGTTATACTGCGGAAGGTTCTTAAACAGCCTGAAGTCTCGACTAAAGGTCTTCAGACCCTCTCAATCTGAGTCTCTAGCGGGCGACTAACCTCCACCGGAGTAAACAGATTGAGGCCCTAAGAACAAAACCTCCACTACCGGAGTAAATCCGGTACAGAATAGTGAGTTGGCTCCTCGACTAAAGTCACCAACTCCCTACCTTCAATCAAGGATGCTCTATCAACCTAGGCAGATATTCTCATTCTAGGTCAAAGCAGAAACAACAGGAATTTGATCAGGATTCAAGTCATTCAATCATTCAAACCTCAATCGAATATAATCAAATCATAGAATCAGTACTTGGGTTCATACAATCAAAGCCTAACATACAAATCTAGGGTTCTCCATACCCAGATGAATGGGAGAACTACTCCATAGAGAAAGAAGCAAAAGCAGAATCAGACGCGGAATTCATACTGTGAAGGATGGATTCCTGCTTCTGGATGTTGATCGGCACTTCTCCAAGCTCAAGCTGGCCTCCAATGGTGTTGAAGATCAATCTAGGGCACTTGGAGACTCTTGTTCGTCGCTTTCTCTCTCTAGGAACTGATCTCTCTCTCTAAAACTCGAATCCCCTTCTGTTTGGCTGAAAATCTGCTTAAAAAGGCATCAGTGGCCAAAGCACGGTCGAGGGCACGGTCGTGCTTTGCCTCAGCCCGCCCGTGCTTTGGCTAGGGTTAATTACACGGCCATTGTGTTGGTGCAAACACGGCCGTGCTTTGGGAGAACACGGCCGTGCTTTGGGAGAACACGGCCGTGCTTTGGGAGAACACGCCCGTGCTTTGGTAGAACACGCCCGTGCTTTGGGAGAACACGGCCGTGCTTTGGTGAAGCACGCCCGTGTTCTATCTCAGCCCTGCCCGTGTTTTGGCCAATGTGGTCCAAACTCGAATTAGCTCTCGGCAGTAAAAGCACGGTCACAGAACATGGTCGTGTTCTGTTTTAGGTGTGCCCGTGTTTTGGCTCCAGCTCACCGAAATGACTTCCGAATGCCCCGAAACTCATGCTTAGCCTTTCCTTTGACGCCTGGGACCTGAAATATGACAAAATAGCACAACCCGGCGTAAAATAGGCCAAAAATACACGACTATGCCCCTCAAACGGATAAGAACTAGGGGCGCAAATTCGTGCAATTACATCGTTATCAAATTCCCCCACACTTAACCGTTTGCTTGTCCCCAAGAAAACCTAACTCAAACCAATGCAACTCTCCAGACCTCTATAGCAACAAACAACCCAGATCGTAGGTAGAGGACTTCCTAGATCATTTAGCAACTTACGAGGTCAACCGACGCACAAGTCATCTCATAGCTTCTTCGGCGAGAGCACTAGTATCGAGTCGGCATCATGGCAAATAGTGAACAGAGGACAAATGAATTGTGGATGAAGAGATTCTCAAAAACAAAAGATCATGGACTCACATTTTTCAAGGTGCTCTATATTCTTTGAAGATGGTTGGAACCCCTTTTCTTTCTGTTTTGCTTGTTTTCTGTTATTTTTTTCTTTTTTTTTCTTTTTTCAAGGGTCCCAACCGGCTCTTACCGGCCATGCCAGGAGCGGATGTCTCGAGCCTCGTGCGGGGGAAAGACATGTAAGGGGGCTTGAGATAGTAGGTGGAAATTGGGAACGAACTCCCGTCTCCCCTTACACACTTTCGCCCTATTCGCACGGGAGACGTTATTTTGAAGCACATTTTCGAGCACTTGTTAAACTCAAAACATGATACAAGAGTCCATGACATGTAGAGAGTCCACAACACCACACAACTCAAGGGTCCTAAGATCACTAATTCACTCAATCAACCAACACAATATGAAGAAAAAATGAGACTTCTTAAATGCATCAACATCCTCCATAGTGCTACACTACCTCCCTAGGTTGCACATTACTATAAAGACTGTCAATTCAAAGCATACTGAGCAGGCAATTGCACGGAAACACGTACTTGGAGCCCTCAAATTTAAAAATTTGGAAAGTGGACTAGGCTCCAAGCACACAAACAGATCTAATGCAGTTAAAGATAAACATCCCCCCACACTTAAGATCGACATTGCCCTCAATGGAGAAGAGGGAAGGGAAAGGGGAACGATGTTACCGGTATGCACGGACTGTAGGGGACTGGAAGCGGACCAGTCGGAGTGAAGCGGACTGGAGAGAGGACCAATCAAGCCAAGCACAGCTAGAGGAAACCAAAGAGCTCAAACACAATATGTTAGGTCCAATGTCAGCTCAATAAGACATCATCCAAAACAAAAGAAAACAAACCAAAACCAAACTGGTTTACAATCCGACTCAAAACACAAGAAAGAAAGTCAAACCGTGGTGGGGTTGCCTCCCCACAAGCGCTTCTTTACCGTCTTTTAGCTGGACGCCCATGGTGGATACTCAGGGCTGTGCAGGAACAGGTGCCTTCAAGAGCGGATCCACGTCGCTCTTGAGGTACAGCTTCAGGTTGTGGCCATGCACCCGACGGATGCGACCACCATCATCAGTCAGCTCGACCTGCCCGTCTGGCAAGATGCAGGCGAGTGAGTACCCGCACGGCCAGGGTGGTCGTGGTGTAGGGGGTGGGACCAGCTCATAGTGGTCTCCACTCTTCTTCCGTGCAGGCTTAGCAACCTGCTGCTTCGGCCGCCACTCCTCCTTGAGCTTTTTGTTCGGAGGTGAGGCTGGATGGAGTGGCGGCGAAGGAATAATAGGAGGGTCCTGCAAAATAAGAGGTGCAGAAGGGTACACAACAGGCTCGTGTACCTGATCAGACATAGCATGCACAGGGGTGACAGCAATCATAGCACAGTGATCAAATTCAGTCACAGAAAAAGTAGCCTGTTCATTCCCAGCACGCAAGATCAGTTTACCATCATGCACATCAATAAGTGCCTTGGCGGTGGCAAGAAATGGTCTACCCAAAATCAAAGGCACATCCACATCCTCATGTATATCAAGAATAACAAAATCAACAGGATATGTGAATGCACCGACCTTGACAAGCAGATCCTCTATGATTCCCCTAGGATGCACAATGGAACGATCAGCTAACTGAATGCTCATCCTAGTAGGGCTAAGTTCACCTAGGTCTAGCTTTTTATACAACTTATATGGCATGACATTTATGCTAGCGCCTAGGTCCGCCAAGGACTTGCCTACATGCATGCTGCCAATAGTAAGAGGGATAGTAAAACTCCCTAGATCCTTGCGCTTCTCGGGCAGCTTGTTTTGCAGGATAGCAGAACACTCCTCGCTCAGCATCACTGTCGAAAGATCCCCAAGTTTCTTCTTGTTGGTGAGGAGGTCTTTCATGAACTTGGCATACTTGGGCATCTTCGACAGTGCCTCCACGAACGGTATGCTGATGTTGAGCTGCTTCAACATTGCCATAAACTTGGCAAACTCAGTCTCCAGCTTGTCTTTGTGTAGGCGAGTGGGGAAGGGAAGCTGGGGCACACGCTCCTTAACCACTGGTTGTGGCATGGGAGCAGGGGCTTCCTTCTCCACCCGCACTTCTGCATCGTCGGCTGGAAGTGCTGAAGGAGGTAGTGGTTCCTCCTGTCTGGCCGGGACAGGATCAGCAGATATGGTCTTACCGCTCCTGGTAAAAATGGCATCCAGCTGCTGGAGCTGGTGAGGATCCCGATGATTCGGGATAGTGGTGGCGGGCAGAGTCCCTGGTGCCCTGGTAGTGTTTTGGCGGGCCAAGATACCCACCTGGTGCTGCAAATCTTGCAAGATGACACCCTGGTTCCTCTGACCTGCCTCCAGTGATGTGATAGCTGCCTGAGTGCTAGTCATGACTGAAGCTAGAATATTTTCCAGCTTTGTCATCCGGTCATCTGGGGCCGGAGCTGCTGCTGGCTTGGCAAACTGGCGCTGGGGCTGCTGGAATGGTTGCCCCTGCCTAGGCTGGTAGGGCTGCTGTTGTGGGGCTGGCCTCTGTCGAGCCTGGAAGGGCTGCCTCTGCAGAAAGCCACCAGCTGGTGCTGGGAAACCAGGTGGCTTGGTGGTGTTACTGCCCCAAGAGAAGTTGGGATGCTGGCGCCACCCCTCATTATATGTGTTGCTGTACGGGTCGAGGCGCCGAGCATTGGAGATGAAGTCCAACTGCTCTTGGGGAGTGGTAGACTCCCTCATAGCCTGGCAGTCCTCCACTAGGTGATTGGAGCTCTCACACCACTGACATTGAGCTACTGGAGGTGTAGCCAAACCTCTGCCCGGAATAAGACTGTTGGGCTGCTTCAATGTCTGCACTAGCTCAGCTACCTGCTCGAGCCCGGATCTGGTCTCCATGGCGTGCACACCACGGTCCCGGGACTGTCTGCCTCGGCTACCCTGTCCCCAAGAATGATCTCTGGCAGCCAAAGTACTGATCATCTGGTTCAGCTCGGGTGGAGTCTTAGTAAGAATATCCCCTCCTAGGCATAGAGACTCAATCACCCTCTGGCTATCCGGAGAGAGGGCACTGTAGAAGTTCCCCATTGTGAATGCATCACTGAAGCCATGATGGGGACACTGCCAGAAATAGCCCATGTACCGCTCCCAAGCATCACGAAGTGACTCATCTGGCTCTTGGCGGAAGTGAGTGATCTCCCGCTGGATCTCTGTAGTCTTCGATGCCGGATAGTACCTGTGCACGAACTTGTCAGCCAGATCGTCCCAAGAGGTGATGGACAATGGGGAATGGGTCTCCAACCACCTCTTAGCATTCCCCGCCAGAGAATGATGGAAGAGATGAAGGCGATGGCATCATCCGGGACACCATTCAGCTTGAACCCGTTCGTCAGCTGCAGAAAACGGGAAAGATGCACCCTGGCCTCCTCATCCTTCAAGCCATGGAACTGGATAGAGGATGTGATGAGCTGAATCCAACATGGCTTGATCTCGAAGTTATTTGCTGGAATAGGCGGGTAGAGGATGACCGGGCGGATGTCAGCAATCCGAGGAGTGTAGTAGTACTCCAAGGTGGGGCCCGGCTGCGGTGGATGATGAACTCCATGATCCTGGGGTATGGGGTTGTTCCCCAGGACCTGATTCACTGGGGGAGCCTGCTGAGGATTCCCCTGGTGCTGATTGTAGTCTCTGTCCATCCTGTACTCTTCTTCAGAATCGCTACTCAAGTGGCCGTCTAGGTGCTCGTCCGTAGCCAGTCTAGCTCGCTGTTGTCTCCTGAGTTGGCGACAGGTGCGGTCAATCTCTGGATTAAACGGCAGTAAACCTCCTGACTGGCTATGGGTCATGCACTACCTGCACACACTCAAGCAAGCAAACCCGTGAAGGCACAAGTGGGACAAAGCAAACAAAGCAAAAAGAAAAGCTAAATTAACAGAAATCACTTTTCTTCAACAACCTAGCCGTCCCCGGCAACGGCGCCAAAAACTTGACTCGACTCTACTGTCACTCCAGGAATTGGCCAAGTGAAACCACTTCCTAAGGCGTAGTATAGCGGGTTTGGGTTTAATTATCAACCCGGGTCCTAGATTTGATGACTACTCAGTGAATTCTTGTTATCTAGCAATGAAACTTTAATGCAAGTCTAAACTAACAAACTAACAAAGCAAGTAAACGGTTGTATTCAGGTTAAGAGAGGTCACCCGGATATGGTTCCCCCTAGACTGCAGTTATGCCGGATTGTAATTACCAAGTTCAGTTTCTATGAAAGTTATACTGCGGAAGGTTCTTAAACAGCCTGAAGTCTCGACTAAAGGTCTTCAGACCCTCTCAATCTGAGTCTCTAGCGGGCGACTAACCTCCACCGGAGTAAACAGATTGAGGCCCTAAGAACAAAACATCCACTACCGGAGTAAATCCGGTACAGAATAGTGAGTTGGCTCCTCGACTAAAGTCACCAACTCCCTACCTTCAATCAAGGATGCTCTATCAACCTAGGCAGATATTCTCATTCTAGGTCAAAGCAGAAACAACAGGAATTTGATCAGGATTCAAGTCATTCAATCATTCAAACCTCAATCGAATATAATCAAATCATAGAATCAGTACTTGGGTTCATACAATCAAAGCCTAACATACAAATCTAGGGTTCTCCATACCCAGATGAATGGGAGAACTACTCCATAGAGAAAGAAGCAAAAGCAGAATCAGACGCG